GAAGAAGAAAGCTTACAAGAAAAAAAATATTCAAACGGGAAAATGTACCAAACTGTAAAGATAAGAACAAGAAGTGTAAAGACAAGAACAGGAAAAGCAAGGAGAGAAAAGGTGGAAACGGAAATTTTCAGATGATGGAGATTTTCTGATATTGGTGTTATTGAATTTGCAATAAGTTGGATGTTAACCTTTTGTAATGACCCGGTCGGTTATTTTGTATATTTTAGCTTCGTTTTCCCTAGTTAATTATTTTCCTATGTATTTGTAGTTATATTACTTGCGGGGGCGGTTAGTTTGGTTTTGGAAAAGTTTTGGATTGAATTGAGACACCTAATCCAAGGTTGAAAGCTTAAATTGTAAGGGTTGACTGAAGTTTGACTTTTGTATAGACAAACTAGGAATGGTGTTTTGATGGTTTCAATATGTTCGTATGATGATTTTGGACTTATGCGTATGTTCGGCTTTAGATTTGGAGGTTCCTAGGTTGAATTGGTTCTATTTGGCGAAAGTTGGAAACTTGAAGATTTGGAAGGTTCATAAGTTATCGAGAGTTGACTTTGATGATAATGTACGCCAGGGATTTTAAATCCCTCAGGCATTTTTATGTATATCTCATTATCAAGTGAGCCGTATAGGTAGGCTGTAACCACATCCATTAAATACATGTCAAGCTTTTCATGGACAGCAAGACAAATGAGATAACGGAACGTTATAGCATCCATAACAGGAGAATACGTCTCCTCATAATCGACATCATGCCTTTGTGAAAATCCTTGTGCAACAAGGCGTGCCTTATATCTTTGTACCTCATTTTCTCACTCCTTTTATGTACAAAGACCCATTTATAGACAACAGGTTTAACACCATTAGATGTTTGGACTATAAACCCAAAAACTTCACGTTTCGCAAGTGAATCCAACTCAGATTGGATTGCTTCTTGCCATTTTGGCCAATTACGTCTTTGTCGACATTCTCCAACAGATTGAGGTTCAAGATCCTCATTATCTTGCATAATACTAGATGCAACATTGTATGCAAAGACATAATCCACCACTATATTCAATCGATTCAAATTTGTCTCAATATCGATTGGATTTATTGATAATTCCTTATTTTCTTGAGTCTCAGGCTCATCGATATCCTCATGAATTTCATGATTGGTTAAATCATGGGTTTCTTTATGAGACTCTTTTGTAGTGTCATCTTGATCATTTATTTTCCTTTTTCTAGGATTTCGATCCTTAGAACCCAATGGCCTGCCACGCTTTAGGCGTGCTTTTGACTCAATAGCTATAATACTAGAAGATTTTCCAACAGGGACATTAATACGGATTGAAATACTCTCTGCAGGGATATGTGATTTCGTTATCCTTTTCAGATCCGTAAATGCATCTGGCATTTGATTTGCTATTTTCTGTAAATGGATAATCTTTTGCACCCCCTTTTCACAAATAGAGGCATGTGGATCAAGATGAGATAATGATGGATTTTTTCACGAAATTTTCCGTTTGATTTCACCAATTTCTCCCCCTTATTTTGGGAAAAATGCCTCATCGAATCGACAATCTGCAAATCGAGCAGTAAATAAATCTCCCGTTAATATTTCGAGGTAGCGAATAATGGAGGGCGATTCAAAACCAACATAGGTTAGGGCGATTCAAACCTAACCTTCTTTGGGGACCCATCTTGGTGCGATATGGCGGTGCTACAAGCATATATACAGCGCATCCAAAAATTCTTAGATGGGATATATTAGTTTCATGACCCAAAACTAATTACAACGGAGAATATTTATGATAATTTGTCGGTCTGAGACGAATTAGCATTGCTGCATGCAAAATGGCATGACCCCAAACAGAAGTGGGTAATTTCATTTTCATGAGTAACGGTCTTGCTATCAATTGCAGACGTTTAATCAAAGACTTTGCAAGGCCATTTTGAGTGTGAACATGAGCTACATGATGTTCCACTTTTATCTCAATTGATAAGAAATAGTCATTAAATGCTTGGGATGAAAACTTAGCAGCATTATCAAGTCGAATAGACTTAATTGGATTATCGAAAAATTATGCCCGTAATCGAATTATTTGTACCATTAATTTTACAAATGCAGGTTGCGAGATGACAATAAGCACACATGGGACCATCTAGAAGATGCATCTATTAAGACCACAAAATATCTAAACGACCCACTAGGTGGGTGAATAGGTCCACAAATATCCCTTATATACGTTCCAAAAATGCAGGGGACTCAATTCCAACCTTTGTTGGTGATGGTCTAATAATTAACTTGCCTTTATAACAAGAAGTGCAAGAAAATTCATTATTTAAAAGAATCTTTAAATTCTTTAATGGATGCCCATTTGAGTTCTCTATAATTCATCTCATCATAATTGATCCAGGATGTCCCAATCGATCATGCCAACATACAAAAGTATTGGAATTAGAAACATTTTGGTTTACGATAGAATGTGCTTCAATTGCACTAATTCTTGTCCAATAAAGGCCACAAGATAAAGATGGGAACTTCTCAATAACCCTTTTCTGGCCAGAGACATTCTTGGTAACAATGAGATATTCGAGATTATTCTCATCTATTGTCTCAATGTGAAATCCATTTCGACGGGTATCTTTAAAACTCAATAATTTCCTCTTGGACTTGGAGGAGAACATTGCATTCTTTATGATAAGTATTGTTTCCTTAGGCAGAGTTATATTAGCTCTTCTAGAGCCTTCAATTAGATTACTACTACCAAAAATTGTAGTAACATCTGCCTTACACATACTTAAATGAGAGAAATATTTTTTCTCTTTGAATATTGTATGTGTTGTACATGAATCAATTAAGCAAATATTTTACAATTGAACTTTGATCCAAGTTTGTTTTGAAAGATATCCATATTTGCTTCCCATGGTTTGACATATAAATGAAGTATATGAATAAATATTAGTATTTTTAGAGAAAAAGGAAAAGAAATAAAGTTAAACCAATAATTCAATAGTGATCTTTTAATGCATTTTCTAGCAAATTCTAATTATTATACAAATAATTACGCAATAAAAATAATGCAATTATAAGTACATTACACATATGACTAATACAACTATAACAAATTTATTTACATGTATAAGTTATTTGTATTTTTCTATACATTGTGTGAAAAACAGTTGATATGTATAAGAAAAGAACATACTTAGCTGCTTCTCTTTTCTTTATTCATAATATTTCATCCATGTACATGAAAAAAATTAAGGGTGAAGTAACAAAAGTTGTTCTAGAGTGCTTGTAAACCTCTTCTTAAAGAGAATTAAAGTAACGTAAAGGAAAATCAAAAAGCATTAAAAGATCAGTGAGACTAGGACACTAATTACTTAGATATTACTCATTGTTTGTGAAATTTATAAAATTTAGAAAATATATATATATTTTTAAAAACTACATAAGAAGTATTATTAAGAGCAATATAAATTATAAGATGTTTATTCATTAGATACTACGAATAGGAAAACATAAAAATCAAATTGCTCAATCATCTTTAACCATAGATCCATCACCAATTGAGTGGTTTATTTTTCCATCAGAGTGCTCAAACAAATCTGCCACATCCAAGTGGGTGATGTCAAATTCATTGTCATAGACAAAATTAGCTTCAGGAGCTTTATTCTTTAGAGATGCTTGATAAAACTCAACCAAATATTTTGGTATGCGACAAATATTTGCCCAATACCCTTTTCCACCGCAACGATAACATTCAGTTTCTGAACCATTTGCCCTTGACCCTTTTCACTTTTGATGGTTATTTTTCTTTGGGGGGTGATTAACACCAGAAAAATTTCTTCCTTGGCCACAGCCACGACCACGACCACGAACAGGGCCACGACCTTTTCCACTCTTAGAATAATGGGAATACACCTCATTCACTTCAGGCAATGGTGTAGACCCGATAGGTTGATTTTCGTGATTTCTCATGAGCAAGTCATTGTTTCGTTCAGCCACAAGGAGAAGAGAAATCAACTCAGAATACTTCTTGAAACCTTTCTCTCGGTACTGCTGTTGCAAGACCATATTGGAGGCATGAAACGTTGCGAACGTTTTTTCAAGCATATCATAATCAGTGATAATATCTCCACAAAGTTTCAATTTAGAAGTAATTCTGAACATCGCAGAATTATATTCAGAAACAGACTTAAAGTCTTGGAGCCTCAGATGAGCCCAATCATATCGTACTTGTGGAAGAGTGACCAACTTTAAGTTGTCATATCTTTCCTTTAAGCTATTCCACAAAATAAGTGGATCTTTGACTGTGAGATATTCTATCTTCAACCCTTCATCAAGGGGATGACGCAAGAAAATCAAGGCCTTAGCACAGTTTTGGGTAGATGCTTTATTTTTGTCTTTAATGGCATCTCCAAGACCGATTGCATCTAAATAGATTTCAGCATCCAACACCCATGTCATATAGTTCTTGCCCGAAATTTCAAGGGCAACAGACTTTCTTTTCATAATATCAGTCATAATTAAAAGAGGAGAAAAGTTATACCTTAGTCTTCTCAAAGAGCTTCTTGAGACGGTATAGTCTCGTGCTGATAACGTGCTATGAAATATAACTCAAATTAACAATATAAAACAAGAAAAAATAAGCTAAGAGATATAGAGAAAAAGGGAGAAGAGATTCTTATTTCTTCTTCAATTGTGTGTATTTTTCTATCTATTACAAGACCTTTATATGTGCACGAAAAGTGAAGAAAATATGTCATTGAATATATCATTAAACATAAAAAATATGTCATTGAATATATGATTAAATGAGCATTTGAGATGAATATCGTGGAGGAAGAATAGACAACTACCGTATTTTGATATTTCTTATAACAAGATACAAGTTGTATACTAAATGAAAATTCCTCTATATATTTGGTTTTGATTTGATGGCTTAACTTTTCTTCACTCCCTCACCAACCCCACATGACATCCAACTTGAATTCTAACCTCTCTTTTTATTATTAATTATTAACCCAAAACAACCACCTTCTCCACTCTGCTCCCACTCACCAAAACGCCTCGTTTCCTCCGCAAAAGAGACACCCTCAGCCTTGTATCTCTTCAAGCCTTTACACAGGTCTTGAAGAGACAAATCAAGCCCAATTTCGATCTTTGTTTCATCTCTGCTCTACAGTCTTTCTTTCTTGTTTGTTTAATAATAATAATGGGCGGTGAAACTAAGGTCTTTACGTTGGCTGAGGTCTCCCAGCACAACAACGCCAAGGATTGTTGGTTGGTTATTAGTGGCAAGGTATTAATTATTTCCTGATCTCTGCTATTTTATTTTATTTAGTGTGTCCGTTCATTATTTATGCTTTCATTGCCTAGATCTTGCTCTTGATCTCCTCTCTGCGTGTTTAAGATTCAATCCTGAAAATACTATTTTAATGATAAAACAAAAAAGGTACTAACTTGATCGTTTCTATGTGTTAAAGATTCAATTTTGGTCGCTTCTGTTATGCTTTCTATTTTTGTACGCCCCATCTTTTAATTGTGGTTTAGGGAGGTGGCAATGGGGGGAAACCGGGCTTTGAGTTGGACTGTGATCTCGTGTTTTTATATGATTTTTTTGTTTGTTGAGGCTTTCATTATTTGTTTCATGAATTAATGGGATATTTTCCTGGTTCCTCTATGGGAATAGCAACATAACTATGCCAGGAACCGATTTGTAGATTTCTTTCCTCAGGAATTGCACTGATTATAATTCAGTTAGTAGAAAGTTTTAGTATTGACTTTTGAGACATCATTGGTAAATGGTAGTAGTATATTTTATCAAACTTTGCCATATTCAAGCTCTAAATTCCTCTGCAGTAGGTAATCCTCAAACAATTAGCAAAATTCTTCATCCACTTACTGCTAGAACAAGATTCTTCTTTATTATTTTGAACTTGGGGGGGGG